AATTATGCTTTAGTCCCCAACATGGCATGCGCCAACATTATTTAAAACGTGCCGTTCTTTTTGTCTCTTATGCTGTGGATTTGACAAAAGCTGTTGTGAAAAACAAATCAAAGATAGGGAAACGTCTTCGAGGTTGATTTTAATTGTAAATGATGAGGAATGAAACTTAAAATCTTAAGGGTTAGTAAATCAAACTTGACTTCCTGTGATATTGTTGCAAAGCCCTTTACACAAATAACCTCAAGTAAAACTAAGCATTGGTAAGGTGGTTTTTAATAAAAAAGAATTTGCAGCGCCGAACGTTTAGAGTTTAGGCGTCATAGCCGAGTTTTAAAAAGTCAGGACCATAAAATAAATGCTTTATCGTCTATTTACCGTAAGTTTCCTTTTTTTAAAGCTGCTTAGTTTAGCTTTCGAGCAAATTAAAACCTGAAAAGATAAGAGCATCAAGCCTTATATGATCTCGTGCCTTTCAAAGGGTGCGTAAAATCAACCGCAGTATTAACATTAATAAATAATGTAGGTAATTACGGAAGGAATCTTGTTTAGAATGTCATTTGTTGGGTAATCACAACCACTATTTCTCATCTCTCTTTGCACAAAATAAAGACTAGCTGCAGATCCCACTTTTATGTTGCCTTTTACCTCCAGTAGTCAAATGAAAATATGGCTCTAGACGTCTACTAAGCCGTGCTTTCAATCGTCTCCTTCATTTTACAAGTAGGAGGAAAGTGAAATGAACTAACACGAGCTCACAATTTGTATCCACTTGAGGATTTAGTGCAAGCTCCTCTTATGGGCAACTCTAGCAATTGAAAGAAATATCAAATTCTGCTTTGACTTCCCTTCTAAAAAGAACCCCTCTTTTACCTCTAATCTGTTAGGCGCCCAGAAAGCAAAATTTTTCTGGCAGTGGATTAGTATGCCAAACGAAATGTAGGATCGGCGTTAAAAGGAATTCATAATGATAGTCAACAACGATTCCTTTGCAATAACAGAATTTGGAATACAAGAGTCACGACGCATCACAAGTCATCTTATTAGTAGAGAAGCTCGATTGTGCACTGCTTTTATTGAAGTTGAATAAAAAGTAACGTGACCTGTTGTAATCTTTTGATGGCGACTATTTGCCTAACTTCAACCACTACTTTGTAAGTACACATCACCTGCTTCATCGTCACTCTTCAGACAAATAATATTCCACGATTTATTTAAATGCCTTTCATTACTTTGTCATCACATACTGCGCCTGGTTCAAGCGTTTCACAGCAGTCTTGTAAACGACTTTTATAGCCTTGAAAGAGTGTTACAGACGCCCTGCCAAGCAGTCAAGTTCAGATCACAGTCACAAGTGATTTAATGGTTTAAAAAAAGGCAAAAATCTTGAATTTCAAATGAAACCTACTGTGTCAGTAGACTTGTTCCAAGACATGCTTTTAGGTACGCCAGCTATTTCATCCTGATAACACTTTTACTTACAGTTATGCTTCATCATTATACACGTAAATGTTGGGAGTGTCTATATGCCCAGAAAACGCTTCTGCCTTGATTGCCTGCAAGATTTTTTTCTATTCACAACTAGAAGGACTAGTTCCGTTTCAACAGATTGATGGGTGAGAAGCATGAACAGATACATCTTAAATTTACTAATAACCATTACGAGAATACAACTAGTCATAATGATAAGAAAAACTTGGGAATGAATCCATCTGGTCCTTACAAGGGGTGGACTCCTACTCAAGTACACACGCGCTCTACACTAGGCTGTATGATCCCGTTAGCTGATTGTTTTCCAGGGGATCCAAGCCCACGCACAAACAACAGTTTCTAGTAACAGCAATAATTTTGTACTCTTGCTAGATGCACAAGTCGTTTAACTTAAAATGAATGCTGGAATAACCTACAGTTAAACTACGAATTTAAAATGTACATGCGCATGACGAAAACAAGCTGAAGCGCTCAAGAAACAACTCGGAAAAAACAGAGATCTGAGTGTAAACTTTACGTTCACTATCTAACAGAAATAGTGACATTCCAGTAGCACCTAGTACTACTTATTTCAACTCGTATTCCGTACTTACCTTTAAGGTGTAAAACAAATCTACTAATCATACTTACTCTTCTTCCTTTTGGTTTTCTTAACCTTCCTGTTCCTCTGCTTTGCACATTGTCAATGCTCCAGCATTCGCAGTGGCATCAGTGATGGAAGTAGTGTTAATGGCCATTGGGTCGGAGAGCGAAGGGTTTAAGTTGGTTGCATACACTTTTCAGACCCTGTGATGTGCCAAATTAGGATCTGTCATTGAATGGAACTTGTGGTGTTTGCAGTCACCAGCAGGGAATGATGTATATCTTGGCTCTGCAGGATGAAGGCCTTCTAGCCCCTAAGCCACACAACTGGTACGAAATGACAAGACATTAGTACACTTTTTCGGTTGTGCCACGTACTGACTTATTAGCTAGCCAGACATTTTGAAGAGACCACATTTATTTGTCTCCACAATGCAAGCTCTGCCAACTAAGGATGAGTGCTGCTTCACTTCTAAATGTAGGGTTTGTAGGGAATGGATAATGTGCAGCACAAACACCGTTGTGTTCTTTTGCGAAACATTCAAATTCACAGCTATTATTCATCAAAAATATGTCCGTCATACAATTAGTCCGTCAGTTACGTGTCAGACAGGCTGGAATTTAAAACTCCCTATCCAATATACGTAAAAACACTAAATTGTACTAAATAAGGCATTTTTAAGGCTTGTTAATATCTTTTAACGCATGTGATTGGAACTGATTTGCTGATTTTTGACCACAACTTTTCCTCTCCAATTGACGCGGACCTAAACCATTCACTTTAGTACTCAACAAATATGTTTTGTTATAACAAAGTGGTAGAAGTATTTTTTGACATATAGTAGCATGTAATGCTCTGATGACTGAAGAGCCCTTTTAGAGCTGTTGCTCCTATTTTTGTGGGGTACACTGACAGAACAGACTAACAGAATCTAAATTGCATCTAGGTTTGCTGTTCTGCTAACTCACACTACACCTTTTATCAAACGTCTCATTTGGGAAAAAAAGCGTAGTATATGTTGGCACGTCCTTCAACTAAGCAAAATTGAAATAAGCTTTTTGTAAATTGTTTCCTTGCCCCATGAAGAATGCAGCAGACAAATTACTCTGACTAAATATAGGAAAGGAATGATGCTGTACTGGCGGTACCTTCTAACAAATATCTGGTAAACCATCGGACATTGCGTAAACAATACCGCGTCAAGGAGGAATTTCGTGTCTTTTGCTTGCAATGGCCCGCCATTGAGAGTCTAACAGCCTCCCTTGCTATAAGTCGCCTTGACTGCTTCAGGGAGAAATGAAGTGTCACCCAAACTTTGTAGTGGGTGGTCTGTACTAACAAATATGAAATAGCTATTGTATCTTGTGATGTCTGACAAATCAGGCAAGAGAAAAATCCATTTGCAAATGACGTAAAAATGTGCTGTGATGAGGGTTCAGAGGATTGGTCATACCTATGGTCGGTAGACATAATGAAAATATGTAGCTATCAGTATCTATTTATGCGTGAGTTATGCACAGTTTAGGATGCCGCAACTCTTTTTTAAGTCTGGATGTCCCGTCTAACCCACGTGAGCGGCCGGGTTGCCCTCCCATTCCGACCCAACCGCGTGCAATGTGATGAGATGATGGCTATTACAGCCTCCACAATACATGTACATCCACTTAAATTGATCAAGGAAGTCTTAAAAAGTAAAATGAAAAAATTTTGGCAACCCACTTTTAGGAAATACACTTCCAACTCGATGAAAATGCACATACTTAAAAGGAAAACGCTTATGATATTGCCTTAACATTATTCAGCATGAACAGGCACCTCATAAAAGTAAATCCGCTCTTATTCAGATATTCGTGTATACATTTAAGTAAAAATTGTTCAACAAGCAAAAATAGCTACATTTTTATAGTAACAAAAGGATTTTTTCAAATATTTATAAGGGGAGAGAACACTGTACAGTAATTGTTCGATTTTCTTTGCTTAAAAATATACGTATGGGTTTTTTATCTTTATCTTTCAAATCATTCTTATTCGAAGTGGCTACACTTAGTTTTTCTCAAATTACCTGTCACAGCTAAGGTGGATCCACTGCCACCAACTAGCTGAGGTACCCGAAGCAGCGCTGCCTGTGCTGACCAAGCCACTGGTTGTCTGCATTCTTCGCCCCTCTCTACCATTAACTTCAATCCACCTCATGCGCATGCAATCATGGTGTCAAGTGTTGCAGAGGACAGAGGTATTTCAAAAAGTAAACACGATGGGTCGAGATCTATTACCATTTTATGCTAGACCAATTTCTAATAGCCAGTCAGGCAGTTGATCATTAAATGGTAAAAAGCCTTTCCATCATCTGATATCAGGCCCACTAAATGTGGCCTATTTGCTTGGATTACGAAGCGACGTTTCTTTCTAGAGTAATGCTGCTATAAACAAACCATTTCCTCATCATTTTACTTCTGTTTGAATAAATAAATGCATTTCACTATTCTTATAAACCTAGGATTTACCTATTGCGTTCATCAAAATAAAGTGAGAAATAGTCGGATCAACATTTAGAAGTATGTGACGATAGACTGACGACAGTCCATGACCTATGAGGTATGAAAGGAAACGAAAAAGCCGACAAAACTGACCGCTGATAACGGGTCAAGCCAGTTTAGTAGGTACAAATGAAATGCCTAGGCAATTTCGTCTTAGACTTGAGGACCTTGTCTTGCTGCCTTAATCATACTCCTAATTAAGTGGCTTGACTACATGTAGACAGGTAAATGAAAAATAATGACATAAGTGTGGAGCGAGACTCCTCGGTCTCCGCGTCCCAATTCCTAGCGTTCCTAGACAAGCCCGGTTGGTTTACTTTGGACATCTTTATTAAAGACGACAAGATGTATAGGGAAAATACAATATTCAAGAAGGAGGGGAGCCGCAGTCACTAGGTAAGGGAGAGGGCGATCCAGTTACCAGGTTCGAATTTTCTGCTCGCCTCCTCCCTGAAAGGCACATTAAAACAACATAAGTATTACATAAGATTGCCTTCAGGAAAGACATTTATCGATTACTTTAATGATGTGTTAAAAGTTGAGCCAGGCTCTCAACCGTGTCATTCGTCTACTGTCAGCGTATCTCCTAGTAAGATAAAAAAAAGACAGGGAGAGGCGACTTCTCCCTATTCATTTAATCAATCCGCCAGCCGACAGTGAAGTGTTGTACAAACTGGAGAAGAGTATTTAAGATGAAAAGTTTTTTCGATAGAGCCGCCTAATAATCTGACGGTAAAATTTATTTTTGCTTAAATTTTTTTCGTTTTTACCTTTAAAGGAATTTCGCATCTCTCGTAGTGTAAAACTGACCACTGCAGTATGCAAACATTCCCTACATCATACTCTAACACATTCTTTAGGCTACTTCTCTATTCAGCCTAGATATAATGCACAAAAATGATATTTTCTGGTTAAAATATTTTGGAGGAAAAACATTTTTTTTGACATTACCGCAAACAAGGTTCCCAATAGTGTACTTGAATTCCCCTTAAGTGCAAAGTCGTGAATGCAGGTAAAAAGGTAGATTTCGCCCTTGTGCATGCTCCTCAGTCTCAAAGCTCACCCGCTTGCTTTTGCTCCCATTTTCCTCTCATGTGCAGTTATACGCGTTTGTCCCAAAATTCGACCATCACTCGATTCCATGAAAAATATGAGGACAACAGAGGGGGATGTTGGGAGGTACTTGAGAGTTCCTCGGCTTCTGCAGTCCTCGTCGAGAGGATTCATAGATTGTAATACTGAGGGTAAGAAGGGACTGGCCTCATCTTCATCCATTTTCTTGATTTTTCTATTCCTCTAGCCCTATTTCTGCTTACCTTAGGTGCCTTCCTTCTCACATTGACATTGGTATTGCATCGTCATGTGATCACACCCGAGATGCGGCGCATGTTAAAAGAAAAAACGGCGGTGACAAAAGCTGAATGTTTTTTCTAGAAACAAACAGGTAAATAAAATTGGGATTTTGAAACTGCCTTTCTTTTAAATAAAAGTGAAAGATAAAAGCAAAAATAATGCCAATTATTATTTACGTATAGTAAATTTATTCACACATTTAGGTATGACTCAAAAATAGGAAGAATATGAGTTCCATGTGGTGAATGTTATTGATGTCATTTATGCTGCCGTGCTTTAGCTAATTGTTTACCATTGGTGTTTGGTTGTGTAAAACACTCGATCGCTTAGCCTTTAGGTCTCCCAGTAGCCCCTCAGCCCTTCTCTACTTAAAAAAGTATCCTTTGACATAATATTAAGACGAACAACTTCCTAAGGAAATATTCAGAACTCTGCGACCATTCTGTAGTACATCAAATTGATCAAATGCTCTAGTCTACTCCGTTTTAATCTAAATCATTGTTGTTAAAGTGGATACTTTTTATCAGTGCCACCATTGTCACTGCGGATATCGGCGCATCTAAAGCGAGAAGCGTGAAGGCATAGAATGGTAAAGAGAATGAGGATAGGGAGTAAATGGAATTTATTGTATGCTTCCTAAAGAGGCGTGGCATTGTGAAATTCTAATGTAAGGTCAACGGAGCGTCAATTTTGGTAAATAAAAGTTAACGTAGCCTCTATTGATAAATCAGAATAAACAATTGGGTCAAAATCTACTTTGCATCTTAAAATGATGGCTTTTTTACACTCAAATACATTGCTTTTCGTATAAAAGTTTCTCATTTTTCAAGTGTACTACTTTAAATATTAATTAGGTTGTAGTTAATTTTCATTTTCTTTTTTATGCCTCTACATGTGCATCAGGCAAAGGTGCAAAATTATTGCTGTTGCTTTAAACTGTTGTGCGTGCGTGACCTTGGATCCACTTGAGTTGGCGTTTGGAGTAATCAGAAGGGGCAGACTTTACTACGGACGCCCTTACCTGCCGCTGAGTGCGTGTGTACGTAACTCATCGTAGTAACAGGACGCTTTTTTTCCTACATATATTTTACTCTTTTCATTAGCCGTGGTCTCGCGGTGACTAATAGCGCATTCAAGGTCTCTGTGTACGTGATTCTTACCCATCAATCTGTCGATTGAAGATTAATCGTTCTAGTTAGGTGCAAGAAATGAAACTTCATGGCCATGTAGGCAGGAATGCGATGTGGAGCCGTAGAATGAGAAAGTGTACACTTGAGTACAGGTGTCGTCATTATTTGACAAAACAGAACTCAAATCTAATCGTGTTGATTTCAGAATTGGCACACTACGATTATTTTTTACCTACTCTTGGCATGAACATTAGACTATCGCACTGCTGCATGTGGAAAAGGGTGAACACTTGGAAGCAGGGTTAAGATAGATTCAAAAAGTAGGAAGAAGCAGAAGGTGGTGCTTTTATTGCTAAGTACGGAGAATTACGTACTTTGATTGCACAAAATAACTGGCGATTAAGACATTAGGAACAGCTTCCAGATGTGTCTAGCACAGGCAATAACGATGATGATGGGGAGAATTGTTTATACCTGCACAACCATGGAGGGGAAAGTGGTGACGGAAGCCAAGCAAATGGGCCATGATCACTAGCATTGGCATCAGATGACAAATAATAGCATTTAAAGGCCTCTTTACTTGCTTTCTATTTTCCTCTTTCACACAGATTATGAAAATCACACCATTTGGGGATCAAGTTTGCTAATCAATTGACTGACTTACAATTAGAAATGTCCTCCAAATCCCCCTCAAATTTCGCCTAGCAAACACATCTACCCTTTCTCTTCATCTCTTGACATCATGATCACATGCGAAGGAGGTGGATTAGAGTTGGCGGTAGACAGAGTTGAAGGTTATGGATGGCTAGTGACCAAGTCAACACAAGAGTGATGTGTCCATTTGAGATGGGTCTTTCCATTGCCATGGGTGTCTCAGGTAGTTGATGGAGGTAAAACTGCTTCCGCTGACAGTTAGTCTGAGTAATAGGAAGATAAAATCTACTTGAATTGAATGGTTTAAAAGTAAAAGAATTTGTTATTCTCTCCATTACTAAGCGAAAGGAATGAAGTAAGTTTACTCGAATATCTTCCGCATTTTTTTACATTTAAATAACCATTCTGGTATAAATAGGGAATAAAGAAATTTCTGCTTTCTGGGTAACTTCCTTTACAGCCAAATGTGAACACAAACTAATGAAAAGTTGTAATATGCCTTCTTTAGGGTGCTGTGGCGGTCGTTACCTTGCCCATTGTACATTTGCACGTAGATGAACGGAAAGGAGGGGTCAACGGAGCCATGCATGTGAGTTAAACGTAGCTGTAGAACTTGAAAGAATATTGTGGGCGCCTTGACTATGAATGACCTTCGTACGGATAAACTATTGGGGTAATAATTATGACACAGGCACTGACCGCTGACATATTTGCATTCTGTCCATTGCCCATAGACGCTGCCAACCCCCTGTACCATTATCCCAATACGATGCGTAGTTTCACCTCGTTTGCAAATGATTTCAACTTCTCTTCTTTAGTCAGACATCGTAAGATAAAACGACTGTCCTCTGGTTAATAGCATGGACTACCTACTACAACATTTAAGCGGAAACTCTTTTTACTTTGAAGTAGCCAATCCAGCTACTAGTAGAGGAAGTTCAAGGGAGCTCAATGCTAAACAATGCTAGCGGATGACACGAAATACCTCTGATACATGTTTTCCACCTCTCCACCTGGTATGCGACCCTGCTTTATATTGATGCCGAGATAGGATGGTGATCATAGCTTGAAGAAGTGCAAGGACAATTAGAAGGGTTAAGGGTGAGGCGTTACATCTCTCCGGTCACGACTTCTTTCTACCACTGTTGGCTGTCAGAGACAGTGAGTGTGGTACGTTCGCTTAGCTTCCGCCACGACGCCTCTTTCCAAGGTAATGTAGGAGTGATCCAACCACTCCGTCATCATCTCCACCTTTGTTCTACTTACTTGAAAGCTATTCTAGATGTGGTATTATTAGTTTATTTTGATTAATAGAAATAGGTAGCTCTCCATGATTAATGCTAAGCAGCCCCATTCTGAATGCCAAACACTGCTACCATTCTTCCTCGTGAAATCCACCTTGCAGACTGCACAACAGGGCTCTCTTGACAAATAAATCAACTAAACGCATTGTCTTATACAAACAACCCTAGATTGCATCCATCGCATTCATTAATAAAAAGGGAAGAAATAGCAGAGATGACGGTTACGCTTTCCTTGTCGATAGACCGACGAATGTCCTTGCCCTATAAGGCTGGAATACTAACCCATCCTCTTAATGACATCGCACAAGTGACATCATTTTTATGTACGTATAAGGTAAATCAACAATGCATTATCATTTGAAAAACTGACCGTCGTTGGCAAGCCAAACAAGTATAACACGTAAAAAGACAATTCCTCTAACTTTATTGTAAGACGAGAGAAGTCCACATTTCAGCTTCAGTCCAACTCTCACACGAGAACATAAAAGTAATTTAATTGCAGGAAACTACATGTCAAGCATACGATACCCACGGGGGTGCTATCTTAGCTAGATTACACGCAGGAGAGGGTGGCAAGTGAGCCCCATTACACTTTCCTTGGCTGCAGTTCAAGCCACTGGCCAATCGCAATACCATTGATCGGCACTTTAAGTAGCGCCGTGATTAGACTCAGAGTCAGCAGCAGCATCAAGGCAACGGGCTGGATGAATGATGGCCGCATGGTCGACCTGCTGGAGACTTCCACAAGAAGAATGTTTCTATGAAAAAAAGAGAAAGAGTGTGTGTGTAAACCTCACGTTGAATAAGTTGGCACGCTTTGTAATATGAGTGGTACGCACTTCATTGCTTTTGACGAAGTGTTCCATTCTATTCTGAGAAAATTCAATTTAATAAACTGATTATTTTGCACTAGAACTGACCAGAAAGCAATTAGGTACTAGAGTTGTGGATAAATGTGGCAGAGAGACTTCTTCACTCCACTCACCTGCAAGACTCGATTTTACTTAAATTCTAAGAGTCTAAAAGTTCGCCAAATTTACCGCAAATTTTTAGGCACCTCAAGCAGGTTGACAATTATTGTTTTGTATCTCCAAGAAGAAGATTCACCTCTCATATTTGCGTAGCTACTTTAGACGATGATCTTAATTGCAGTAAGAAGGGGTCGGTTGCCAAACTTGAGTCAGTTCTTTTCATCAACAGAACTGCCAGCTTAGGTATCCCAAAAAATTTTTCTTGTCCCAGGCTTGAGAAATCTTCAAACGGTAATGCTTAGGCAAGGCTATAAAAACTCAAAGATTAAAGATGAAAGTGCTGCGATGCAGCTTTACCGCCAAATGACATTTTAAAGCCATATCATTCACTTTAAGCACAGGCTGTCTGCCTCTAAATCGCAGACTGCATGTCAGTATAACTGACAGGTTCAAAGGCAACAGAGGTGTTTCATCAGATTGCTTGTAAAGCATTTGGAGGTGTTGCATGCGGTGACAAAATTGCGGACTGGCTAAAAATTGTTCCCGTTCAGCGATTTGATCCTGGTAATGAAACACTGCGAGGTATCAGCAGTCGATTAAAGGCAACTTCATACCTCTCATAGTGGTGAACTTAACATATTTGTTTGCGCAAATAATCGGCTAGTGGCGTACAGATGATTCGCGTGTCCATCGAGTGGGAAGGGGAAGTTGCGGCGAAAGCCAACATCTGACCTACGACGCCAGCTAAAACGCCCCATGGGTCAACAGTTTGCTGCGCCCCTCAATTATGGTGAGCCCTCCACCAAGTGATCAAACCATGAGGACAATCGCCCCCGCAGCATATCACACACACACTTCTAAAA